CGGAACCTCAAAAGCAGGAGGGACGTGTGGAGTGATTGGGGAGATTGATTAGTGGACGATGGGCTTTGTCCCCGGAGCCGCTGGTTATTGGGGTGGGGGTTGCGAAGGAAGGGTCTGCAGGGAAGGGCGATAAATTTCTCACAATTTATCATTTTGATCTACGCCATTCTGGAATCCACGGTTTTCTGAACGCAAAACCTGTTCTGGAATCGGCGGTTTTTCCTAACTCTGAATCATGATTTCTCCCTGATCTTGGGGGGGGGGAAAAAACAAAAAATGATCAATCATGATTGCAACCGACGCTTTCTAGACTTTTCTATTCAGAAAAGCAGTCGATGCTATGCAGTTGTACGGAAATGCTAATGTAATCAATAAAAGGAACCTGACCGGATGAATAACACAGGCTCCAAAGTGATTATTGGGCTCTGTGTGTTGCTTGCAAATATTTTTTAAAGATCATTTTTCATTTTTAAGATATTTTAAAAATATCTATGGATATCTATTCTTAAATCATCCAGAAACTACTTCAGTTCTGGTCCTTCAGTGAGAACTGAAGGAAGCTCCTTGGATGAGAGGGGAAACATCTTCCAAGGGGGGGAAACAATTGATACTCCTTACAGACAACTGGTCATTTGTATTTCTTTTAGAGAGCCGTTGAGGCCATTTGGAGGGTTTTTTTTCCTGTGTCTTTAGGGTCACCAGAGTAGCCCGCAAGGGTGTGGAGCCTTCTTGGAACTAAGGAGCTGCGTTATAGCCTGGAAACTCAATATTTACATTCTGATTGTCACCACCGACTGGAGCAGCAAATGGTGGTTGTGAAAACCCTGCACCACTGAGCTGAATGCCTGCCTACCAGTTCCTCAGTCAATATGGCCACTGTTGAGATGGCTGGGAGTTGAGGACCATCCATCCGTAGGGAGGTTTCCCTGGGTTTTATCTAGTTGTGGTGGGAAGTGGTCTGGATTCCCAAGAGGGAGGGGCCAATACGCATGGAGGTTTAGATAAGTTTAATTGGGAAGAGGAAGGATCAAAGGGAGATCCTCCATTGAAGTTCTCAATCAGTTGTTGGAACAATGAATCAGTGGAAGGACTTGCCTCCAGAAGTTGTGGGTGCTCCATCACTGGAGGATTTCTAGAAGAGGTTGGACAACCGTTGCCGGAACGGTAGAGGTTCTCCTGCTTGAGCAGGGCCTTGCATTAGATTAGTGTTTCTCAACCTTGGCAACTTGAAGATGTCTGGACTTCAACTCCCAGAATTCCCCAGCCAGCGAATGCTGGCTGGGGAATTCTGGGAGTTGAGGTCCAGACATCTTCAAGTTGCCAAGGTTGAGAAACACTGGCCTAAGTATTGTCTAGTCAGTCGATAATTGTAACAATAGGAAGACAACTACATCTTATACAATGGTGTGTGCACATTTAATTTTAAAGTAAAGAGATGTCCACCATTCCAAATACCAGATGCCATTTGATCCCCAGCTCAATCTCTATTTATTCTTCTTTGCTCCACTGCCTTAATGTACAGGGGAAAGTTAAAATCTAGTAAATATTCGCCGTAATGCTAACAATTACAGAGAAGCCCATCTTGGCGTATAATAAATCTGTTTACACTCCGTCAAAGCCAACAGAGCAGCAGTCATTCTGAGAGATTGATTGAAAGGCCTGTCGGAAAATCTAACCATTTCTTCTGGTCGCCTGTGTCCCCCAAATTGGTTGCATTTTAGGCTTATCTGGATTGGATTTCAATTTCATTCGATCCAGGACTCTAGGAAAGGAAACATCCAGGCATGGAAGGAATGGAGGAGCGGTTTTAAAAATGAAATATATTCAGGTGCCTGCTACTGCCATTGGCACTCAGAGGAGCACTTCAAATCTTACCCATTCTAGCCTTCACTCTAGTCGATAGTGAATAGAGCATTGTCTGCTTCTCCAGAGGTTGCTATTGAGTTGAACTTTTAGGATAAGCTAATGGCTCCCCCATTGACTTTGTTTGTCAGAAGTAGTAGTAGTAGCAATAGCACTGACTCTAAGCGGTTTACAGAGTCAGCATATCGCCCCCACAGTCTGGGTCCTCATTTCACCCAGAT